CAAACTAAACTGCCCCCCCCCTTACAGCACAGAGGGTCCCCACGTGGGAGCGTCTTCAGCCAGAAGCCCCCCAAGCCAGAGCCTGAACCCCGGTTCCTTCCCAAAGCCAGGGTGGAAAACTCAGGACTCGCCAAACTGCAGCAGCAGAGCCCAAATCTGACCACCCCCCCAAAATATATATATCCATATATCCAAAGGGCAGAACTGCTCAAATCCCAGGATCTCACAGCAGCTCGATCCTCCAAATCCAGAACAGCCCCCCCAAAACCCCCCAAAATGCCAGCCCTAAATGCCAGCATCCCCCAATCTCCCTTCCAGCCCCCCTCCTCAATCCCACATATTCCCGCAAGCCTCGATCCTGTCGGGTTAAGGCAGCCCCTTAAGGGGGTGCATCTGGGATGCTCCCGGTCCAGCAGGCAGGGCTCCCGCCTCCCTGACCCCGGCTCCGCATGCCCCTAATGTGGCATTCCAGCATCGTTAATTACTACGTTAATTGCCACATTACCAGGCACCGCTCCGGGGCAGCCCAGACAACCCCATTTGCAGCCCTGTTCCACTTTCCTTTGGGACCGGGATAAACCCYGAAGCTGGGATAAACCCGGGGACCAACTCGCTGCCTGCCAGGCAGGGCCCAGGGTTTTCCCTTCAAATCCTCAAATTGGCCCCGAATCCCGGGAAGCTCCGGAGGCGCCRGGCGCGGGGAAGCTGCACGAATTATTCAAGACGCTCCATGTTCCCAGCATAGCATTAGCCGCAGATCCAGCCTCCCGCATAGAATATGCAGGAGGCTGCTCCGCGCGCCCGGCTCCGCCGCGGCACAGGGARCGGGGGCTCCGCAGCCCTCTGGCCGTACGAGCCCAAAGGGGGGGCCATGGGAGACCCTTCAGCTCCCACATTTCCCTTTCGGGAGGCTGTGGAAGAGCCACGTTTCCTTTTGGGGGGCCCTGCAGAGCCACATTTCCCTTTGGGGGGGCTGTAGGAGAGCTACGTTTCCTTTTGGGGGGCCCTGCAGAGCCACATTTCCCTTTTTGGGGAGCCCTGCAGAGCCACACTTCCCTTTGGGGGGGCCTGTGGAAGTGCCGCATTTCCCTTTGGGGGGGCCCACAGAGCCATATTTCCCTTTGGGGGAGCCCTGCAGAACCACATTTCCCTTTGGGGGGGGTCCCCACAGAGCCTCATTTCCCTTTTGGGGGGCCCCACAGAGCCACATTTCCCTTTTTTTGGGGGGGGCGAGGGGGGGGCTGTGGGAGAGCCCATTTCCCTTTCGGGTCTGCCTGTCTATGCACAGAGCCTCGTGCTCCTTTGCAGCTGCCCCCCCTAAAAGATGCTCATAGTCCTCGAGGCCTCAGCAGCCTCCACGGGCTGCTCGGAGAGCTGCAGGTTTATTAAAAACGTGACCTGAGGGTCCCTGATGGGCACGGGGGGSACTTGGGGACACAGCTGGAAACCCAACGTGTTCAGTGCTGGCACCCACCGGACTCGCGGTGACGCCCGTCGGCGTCTCAGGCCGCAGGACCGGGGCTGCTCTCGGCCGTCGCTCAGCAGCGGGGACGTTCCTGGGGTGAAAAGAAGAAAAAAATGATGATTGTCCCCAAGCGGCAACTCCGTTTCTTCCTGCTTTTTTCCTGGACATCGCGCTGACCCGCAGCGCTCACTGCTCCAGAAATGAGACCCAGCAGCAATTCTGTCAGCTCGGAGGGAACTTTGACTTGTTTTGCAGGATTTTTGTGGATCGGGAGCAGGAGCAGGGAAATGAGCTCCGTGAAGGGAACTCAGGTGCAACTTTAACCTTGTCACTCCATAATTAAAAGAAGGAAGACAACTATTTCTGTAATTGCAAAGCTCATTAGAAGCACAGGTGCAATTCTGCATCTTTTCAAGACAACTTATCAACCAATTATAGCTTGTTTGGCACCATTAAAAAGAAAGGAAGTATATTATTATTATCTTGCATTTTGTATTTTAKATATATATTTTTAAAAATGCCACTTCCTTGTCATCTCTGAGCAAGGCAAAAGGAGGGGAAAAAAAACAAGATAGAAACCTCAGACAAAACATCTCAGTACTGGCAAGTCGTAAAACAAGCCCAGCTTGGGAAAGCTGGATTATTTTTACTTCATTCTTTCAAGTCCATATTAGCTGAAAGGAATTACCCCTTCTATCTTTGCAGAAAGAAAACCTAACAGACTAATTTTAAACTCTTGCCTCTTAATACACCTCTCTGGGTTCATCYCAAGATATTCATAACTTGCTTCCAGAAAGGCACTGATTATATATGAGCAAAAATATACACTAGAACTCAGATAATGTGCATTCATGTCTAAATAGCACGACCACCACGTCCTTTTGAGGCTAAATTCTATCCCCCATCTTTTCTTGAGCATATAGAAAAGTTTCTTGAATTAATATAATGCAGAGCAGGCCACTCTCTTATTAKCAAGATAATATTTAGGGTCAGTTAGAAACAAATTAGAGGAGCATGGTGACGGTGAGGCGATACATAGGCACATTGCTGAAGTTTATACTCCGATCCCAACCATTTCTCTAGGAATTAAGCATATGCTTAACACGTGGCAGAGGTTACYGCCGCTGCACAAATATTAACCAACCCACCATGGGCGCTGGCCACATTTTCATTAATAATCAAATTACTGTGTTCAAGCATCTTCGCCCGAGTACAGCTGTTATTTGAGACTGCGGTGCAATTCTGCTGAGAGCCTGGTTTGCATATGCTGTACTGTGATTATGAATATTTAAATGCTTCCATCTAGTTGAATTTCAGGCTCATTTACATACATTGGCATACTATTTAATATAATGCATATGGGGAAAGGGGGCATGTTGCATTTTTAATTTTTCTTCAAGAGGAATTGATTTTACGAGTGCCGAAAAGCTTTTTCTTCGGGAAAATAGCTTGTTGGGGAGGGGGCGTGGGGGGATTTTAATTAACTATTTGACAGAAATAGCTGGTAAAACTAAAACGCTGACTGCAAGAGCGTGTCCTTTGTTGCGGCGCTCGCTCTGTCAATGAGAACTCTTGGTAGGTGACCAAATATTGCAGCGTTCCCGTCCACGCTTCTTTTGCTGACTTSGCTGCTCCAATCGGACTCAGCAACGGATCAGAGAAGGGTTTGCACCTGCCCATGTGGTTTCTGGCACATCTGATTTCCTAMCGAAAGGATTTCCAGTGCTGCAAGGAACAGATATTCCATGAACCAGCTTATTCCAGATGTTCCAAGAACAACTGAGGGCGCAGGAAAAAGCGAGCCAGACTTTATTTTGGCTTCCCTGCAGCGAAGCAACTTCAGTTACTCAAAAGCTTCGCTGAATCTGATCTTAAGCACGAGCTTTCAGTGGCCACAGACTTGGGGCTCTTGCAGTTGTTTTCCTCCCCGAAAGCTGTAAATATGCTCTAAAATCTCCATTGGATTTTCAGGCCTTTCTTATGTCACCTTGTTATGTCAGGTGAAATCTGGGTCCAGTAAAGCCAGGGACAGAAACCCCTCAACCTCAGAAGGAAGGGCGGAATTTGGCCTGGGTGGAAGATCTCATAAAGTAAGTCATTAATTACAGGGCTACATCTGGAGGCTGCTCACTGCCTTAGACAACCTTTCACCTCCGGTTCCTCACCYGGGGAAAGCTGCACCGACACGCATCCGCTTGCAAGGCAGCAGCTGGATATTTGCACTTTCCTATAAGGCAGCAAACCACAGCGATTACCTGCGCCAGCTCTGCTCTCAGTCAGGCTTAAATAACCTCCTAACAGGCGAACAAGRCCTTCCAGCACCCTGTCCAAAATGCAGGGCAGCCCATTTACGCCTTTACCTGTTTCACAAGTCATCTGCACAGCCCTTTGGAGGCAAATGCCTCCTCCTCCTCTCCTCCCAAAACATTTTCACTTTTCTTTTCGAAAGGAAGTTTTCTGCACAGTGACACAGCAGAGCAGCAAAAGGCATGCGCTTAGAACACTAAATAAGGCCGGAATAGCCTAATTTCGGAGCAATTTCTGCAAACTCTGGGGTTTTGCAGGGCTGAGTTTGCAGAAGGGGCACCCGAGCTCAGAAATTACCTTCCTGGATGCGGTTTCCTTCGCTGCCGGGAGGTGCTGCCCCCTTCCTTTGCTTTTGCAGCACTTAATTTCAACCCACCTCGCTCAGCGTTTCCCTAGGCAGCTTTCAGGCCATCATCTCCGCCACTTTAAAGGGTAAATATATATATATATATATATTTTTTTTTTTTACCGTTCCTGTACAGTTGCAAGGTGAAGAACATTTTCTGCTCATGAATTATTTACGAAGCCCTCCCAGGCACAGCAGCCAGCGTGCATATTCATCAGGCAGCCGGTCCATTATTCATGAGAAGTTCACTTGAACAGGAAGAGAACAATGATATTGTTGATTGAGGTGCTTGAAAGATGAACTTGAGAGAGAAGGTTCTGCCCTCAAACTCTGACAAGAATGCAGAAAGTTTACCAAAATCAGGAAAGAAAGGTGATTTTTCTTTCTTTTTTTTTTTCTTTTTTNCAGGAAAGAAAGGTGATTTTTCTTTCTTTTTTTTTTTCTTTTTTTTTTTTTTTTTTTGCTATGCATGTGGATTTTTGAAGTTTATTTCCAAGAAAGACATTACACACAGAAATTAGTAGGAAATTGCATCATACCTTCCCTGGACACAGCTCAGCCTCCAACTGCACCTTCTGCTGGTGGATCTTGGGCAGGACACTGAGACAACAGGTCTCAGCTGACCCAAACCTCACTGAAGATCTTTACTTTTATGTCCGAAGTTCCACCACAACATCAGGATCCAAACCCTACTGAGCAACCTGCAATGGATTATTGTAACTACGTTTTCTCCCTCAACTCATACCCAACTCATTAAAGACATTGGCAAAGTCTCTTTAGATCACAAAGCTCAAATCAACGGCTAGATGTTCACTGCAAACAAGAGTTGAAGAACTGCCAACTTTGGTAAAATTGGGTCGAAAGTGAAGACAAGAGCGGTACCTGCTCTGGGAGGGACAGGGGGACCCCAGGAGCCCTCTCCTCSTCCCCTCGACCCTCCCGGGCAGGGAGCTCAGCTGGGTCCTGCCACGGGGGGACCCCCAGACCCTGCTGGGGGACCCTCCTCACCCCCAGGCTCTGCCTAGAGCCCTCCCCTGCTGCCAGGCCTTACCTTGGGCCCCCTCCTTCCTTGCTAGGCCCCTCCTTGGCACCCCCTTCCCTCAGGGCACATGGGGGACCCCAAAGCCRGGCCCCACACTGATCCCCATTAGGGCCTTTTTAAGGCTCCTCCAGACCTTAAGACCTCGCTGGGGCTGGGGTCTCCCTTCAGCTCTGGGGCCTGCTCAGCAGCCCCCACCCCCGGGCTCTCAGCCCTGCTGGGAGGCCCCTCTGCCCCAGACTGCACCTAGGACCCCCCATCCCATCCCAGATGAGATCCGGGACCCACTCTCTCCCCTAGATCCCACCTGGAGCCCCCCATTTACTACCTGCCCCTACCCAAGCCCCCTCACTTCTCTTAGGCCCCCTTTGCAGGGCCCTTTTGGGACGGGACGGGACGGGACGGGACGGGACGGGACGGGACGGGACGGGACGGGACGGGACACCTTTCCGGCCGCCCGCACGCGCGGCCCCTTTAAGGCCGCC